CCGTAGTACTACAATGAAGCGCTTTACTGCAGTGCAACTCAACCAAATGCATCTTATATGAGATAAATGATATATACACCATATATATAAACCGGCTGAAATGTTTTGAAATCACTTGTACCCTACCTGATTGAAAAAATCCAGTCTTTCACTCTGTATGTGTCAATTTGAGTCTTGTTAAAGTTTTAAATCCCTGCCGCCAGGATGCTCCTCTGTCGGTCACGGATTATGGAAAGTGAAACTTAAATCTATAGGGGTGGTTGGATTTATTCACGCAGGTTAAAATATTTATTTAAAGCTTCTTTCTTTTCAGATTCTTATTTACAGCATTATCTTAATAGGCCGTATATTATTGGGAGAAAACCAGTAGTTCTATGTGAAATCAGACATTGAGCACCCCCATATAGCCAAAATGGCATGACCATAACACCCTGCAAATATTTGACTGTGAGATTGGTAGTCGAATAAGGCTCCTCCTATCGAAGCATCGAATCTTCGACTATTTGGGGTCACCCCTAATAATTACAATATGTATGCTTATAATTCTATTGCATTACAGTTAACTCTTAACAGTTAACACAGAATTTTCCGTTATTCATGAGACAACACGGAATTTTCAGAGTTTCAGTGTTTTCACTGTTAAATGCTAAGGGGCGCTATTATGCATCTCCTGAATGAGTCTAGAAAGTGCTGATCAAAAAGCAGACCAGGAAAATGCAAACCCAAAGAAATGTGCAATCTTATATGTAAGCATATGCATATGAAAAATAATGCGATCATCAACACTAACCGCATATAAATGAAAACTGCCTAATGTTACAGAGTGAAATGTCAATCCAGAAAGTGGTAAAGGCCCGTGCAAGCTTTGGGAGTAGATGGAAGACATCTTCTGCATCTTTGCTTTGATAATATTACTGAATATGATTCCTTATCATATTCATATTCAGATGAAAATGCCATTTTCTCAGCTTTTTGCCCAAAATGTTGCTTTTTTTAATGAAAACTACCTACATTCAAGTGTTAAAATAAAATAAAAGAACAATGCTTGAAGCTAGAATAAAACAGATTTATTTATTGTTTTTTAGAAAGTGGAGGGTCTGATCTTTATTTTGATGTATTGCATGTTCAGATAATCATACAACAAAATATTCTAGGGGCCACGAAATTTTAGTGAAAATCAGCAAAAACACTGGCGGGGAAAGAGTTAAACATTAAATGTTGTTGTTGTTCTTATTAATAGTAGTAGTAGCAGTAGTAGTGAAATATTGAAATAATGGCTTATACAAAGATTGTTGTTGTTTTTGAATCATCCATCCCTATTTAGATTTTAATACCTACAAAATTAGGAAAGGAATTGTGGTTCTAAAATTACTTTCTTCTGCAGAATGCTAAAATATATATATATTTTTTTATAATGTTGGTAACACATTGTACGGACAAAAAAAAATAATAAAAATGATAAATTGAATGAAAAGAATCCAATTTATAATCCAAATGATCTTCTTTTATGTCCAACAGAAGTAGGTCTTAGTCATAAAAGTAAGTAATAACTGGAACAACATGAGGGACAGTAAATTAGGACAATTTTCATTTTTGGGTGGACTGTCCCTTTAACTGACATGAAATATGACCACAATCCGAGGCACAAGATTGTTTGTTGGTTGGTTTGTTTACCTACAGTACTTTATGCAAAATAATTTTTTTCTTGGGGGTGAACTTTGATCCTGGCATCTTCTTTACAGCATTCACCCAGTGTTTCCCGCTGTGTGATTTCAGTCCTCTGTGAATAGAACGGGCCAGATTTCCACAGCAGGAAATCGTGAGTCGTTCATAAAACCAATCAGAGGTTAGCGGACAGAAGGCTTTGCTATCTAGAGGATGCAGGGACTCCTGCATAATAATAAAGAGATGCCTCTGTGGTCATTAGAGCCCTCACCCCGAGAGAGGAACGCCTGCTATCGCGCTAATGCTTAAGTAATTGCTTCGTCTCGCCCTCTCCGCCGCTCCAGGACAGACGTGCGTCTGGATTAGCATTTTCATGGAGAAAGAGCCATGCGGACTCTTCTGGGAAGAGCGGAGATGCGAACGTGTCCATTAGTGAACTTTAACACTCCTGTACCTTTGAAAATATTTGTTGCTTAAGTAACCGTGCTGGATGCTGACATTCCCTGACTGTACTGACCCCGCTCACATTTCTCTTTCTGTACAAAGATGATCGCTGCGTTGTGACCCTGTTACGCAAAATGTATTTTAAAAAAGCATCATTCAAACTAACTGGAGAGACTTCGACACTCCTTAAGAGGCCTTCAAGTTTCAATGAATTAAATCAAAAGGATAAATTATTTAATTGATTGATTCCAATTTATTCATTATAGTTAAGCTAGCCCCAAAGTGATTTTCTGTTGTATTGCTCTAAACGCGTAGTTTTGGGAAGTGTTTACAGAGTGGGACTGACACATGATTGGCAAAAGTTACAAAGGATTATGATTATTCACACTTCAGTGACTGTACATATCTTAATGTTTAGTTTTGTGCTGAACAGCTGTGTGTATAATATACTAGCAGGTGATTATACAGTTAGTGATGCAGTAGATGGTGCATGATTAGGTTTAACTGAAGTTGCCACAAAAAAAGTTCTTTGCTTTTGCTTTTAGCTCAACGTACAAGTCACTGAAACATATCCACAAAACTGCCTTTTATAAAAGGAAAATTCATATGTATTTGAACCCAGGATTATTAGTATCGGGAGTAAGTATCAGTACCGCCTAGCTATTAGCTATTCCTTTTGGCTCACCTAAAAGTATGATCTTCACCAGCAAGAAAGAAGAGTCGCGGAGTGATTGCACAAGATATACAGGGACAAACAGCAACGCATTGACAAAAAACACAAACTGACCACAAACTGGCTAATTGAACAAACCTGACAACATCTCACCGTTCTGAGGACACTTCAGATGCTTCAGGTTTGACACAATAGTTGTGGATTCACTCTTCACTCCGGTTGCTGTAATCATAACTAAGCCACATGACAAACATCTCTTGGGGACATATTACTTTTTTCACTTATATTTATATTATGTTTGCTATTAAAAATAATATTCCCAATCTAATATTGTCATATCACACACCCCTACTGTATATAATGTAAGTAATAGCACCAGAACACATAATCCCGTTTCTAATTTCCCTTTTCATTTTCATAAATCAGCCTGGAAAAGTGTTCACTTTGCAGAACGTTTTCATTCCCTGTTCTTTGTTGTTGGAATGATCGTCCTAACCCTCTCCAGACAGCTGAATCCCTGACAATCATCAAGAAACATCTGAAAACTAATCTCACTTAACTGTATCCTGCTGGAAAAGCACCACCACCACAACAACAAAACACTTTTGCTATGCTTTGACTATTTCTTATGTCCCTTCCCGTTACACTATTCTCAATGATGAAACTTTGTATTGCTAGCACTTCTCTTCCTTAAGATTAATTACTTGTTGCGTTCCTCATTTGTAAGTAATTGACTTTGGATAAAAGCATCTGCTAAATGAATAAATGTAAATCTAATGAATGGTTTATATTGAAAATGGTTTCATTCTAAAGAAAGTTTTCTAATCATATTTATAGTAGCATTTCCTGTCAATTTTGCATCACTGGAACACTTTACCCTACAGCAGTCCGAGCAGCTGAGTCCTTAACCATCTTCAAGAAATTACTAAAAACACATCTGTTCCACCTTTGTTTGACCCTCTAA